TATTTATAGTTCTAATTATAATTATTTCTTTTGAATAGAGTTGTTATCAGATTCAAATATTGAAGAAGATAATTTTTCTTCACATTTTATTGATGAACAGAATAAAACAAAACAAAGTTCACATTGTCAAAGAGTTTCAAGTTTTAATATGAGTATTTTTGGTTTTTACATCACTGAATGTTAATGTGGAGGTCTTTTTTATTAATTTGTTTTTGTATTAAAATAATTGTATTATTTTAATACAAAAAAAGATAGGTATAAAAGAATAGAAATGGATTATTTATAATATTGTGATCCGATAAATCATGTGTGTATATATATATATATATATATATATATATATATAATATTTCATAAAGATAGATTCAGAATTCTACATGTCTTTTAAAGTCATTTAAATGTCATTAATTTATATATTTTAGATATAGGCGACATGGAAGAAGATGTTGACGGCAATGCAGAAATATAGTTTCTTATGTATATTTTTGTGACATAAAAATAAGTAATTTTAGTTAAAATGTTTCTTTACTTATTTAATTTAATCATTTTCTATGACTAATTTAATCGCTATAAAACTTTTGTATCAAACAAGTCCCAGCAAACAAAAAGATATCTAAAATGCATCTAATATGCATCTAAAAACTGGTCTAAAAGACGTCTAAATTCACGTCGTGAACGGGACATATATAGATGTCTATCTTATAGATGTCTTTTAGATGCATTTTATTCAACACAAATAAATGCCTTAGGTGCATAAAAGATGTGAAATATACATTTAAAGATGTATATTAGATGTATATTAGATGCATAAAAGAGCTATTATTAGCTAAAAAATTATCTATTATCTATTATCTATCTTTTTTAAACGCGCCTTAGACATCTATTTAAGAGACGTATTTTATACATCTAATATGCATCTGTAAGATGTATATTTCACATCTTTTATGCATCTAAGGCAATTATTTGTGTCTAATAAAATGCATCTAAAAGACGTCTATAAGATAGACGTCTATTTATGTCCCGTTCTAGACCTGAATTTAGACATCTTTTAGACCAGTTTTTAGATGCATATTAGATGCATTTTAGATATCTTTTTGTTTGCTGGGATATTAAATGATTATATTACAAAATAGTATCACATCTTACATACAAAGGCAGAAATGTAAATATTAATGCATGAAAAGATATTTTCACATGCTTCAAAGTAGAAAGTATGCTAATAAAGTAATAACTGCTTTTAGTTAAACATACAGCGTAAACTTATTGCTGCCATTTTTATTGTTGACAACGAAAAAAAAGTAGCGCGAAAGAAAGTAAGTGGAAATCAAAACAGCGTTTCGTCTTAGCGAAAAAATTCGCTTTGCGCGAATATTTCATCTTGTGGAAAACGGCCTTGAGTGAAACTGATTTCGACTTTCTATTGTATTATAAACAGAAGATTTCATGCATAGCTTTAGGAATTTCAATAGCGTTGCACTTTCTTCTATAATACTTCCATGCTGTAATAAACGTAATAATGTAATAATGTAAATCAAAATAAACTGTTTATTTTTGGTATATAATTAGTCACTAAACGTTCAACCCATTTCTAGACCAGTTTTGACTAAATATTGACTAATTCTGGACAACCCTGTTTTTACTGGACTCTTAAGGATAAGCAACATGGTAGATTTTTGATGGAGCAAATCTAAAGGTGAGTTTCCACTCATCCGTTTTTTCACGGGAACGGGATAGGAAAGGGAAAAATAATCACGTGAGCATGCGTAGTTTTCCTTAGGACATATTAAAACTTATACTACGCATGCCCACGTGATTATTTTTCCCGTCCCTTTCCCCTTCCCGTAAAAAAACGGATGAGTGGAAACTCGCCTTAAGAAACAGTTTTGATTGTTTAACTTTATTAGATAATTCTCTTGAATTTGTCAGTTGTATTGCTATTTCTTTGTTAAAAAATTGATTAAGTTTGAAATTTGTCTCAAATTGCTTTGTACTTAACTTTGTCAACAGGAACCATCTGATTCAAGTATTTAAATAATTTGTCCAACTTCATCATTACCACATGTCTATGACATTTTTACTATACTAGATAACGTATTTGATGTTATTTAATAAAGTTAGTTCATGGCGGTAGCTAAGATTACCAACTATTTTTATGTTCAAATCGTTAAAATGTTATTTTGAACACTTATTTTTATAAAACCAGAAATAGAGTCAGTAAATGCATTGTTGCAAATATCATTGTAACATTTAAATTAAAAAAAAAAAAGAGAAAAATATCTTATTTCGCATTCTTATCCAATTTGCGTTAGATTTTTTTTTACGCCTCTAAAAACATTCTTTTTTAAATTTGTGTAATTTTATTTCTTGCAAAGTCCTTGTAAGTTATGAAAATTCTATTAGCGTATCGTACTCATATCTAGGGTATGAGATAAATTTTTGTAACCTATCTAGATGAACAATCAACAACTAAACATTTATAAAACGAATATCTATTATTAAAAAAAACAACCACAGTTGGTTAACCCATAGTCATAATATAAGATGTATAATACGACTATGGTTAAACAAAGTTTAGCGATATTTAGTAAAGATTTCAATAAAGCCAACACAATTTTTTTGTTGTTGCCAGATTTACTGACTCAAAATATATAATGCCGTTATTAAAACATTTTGAGAAAGTTTGTCCATCCGAAAAATTTGAGTTTTTTTTAATGAGTCTTCTATTTTATTCTTTTTTTTTCTTTCGATTTACGCAGGACAGAAACATGTATTTAAGTAGTTTAAATTCAAAACGTGAATATTAATTATTAGTTATTAATTAGAATACTAGTATTGCAGACATTCATAACGCTTTGTAACCAAATCTTTCATTCATAGATAAAATAATTTAAAATATTTTCAAAATATATAGAAATAAAAGCTAATTTTTAATTGACTTAATTATCAACGGCAGTTGATAATAACCCAATTGCACAAGGTTGTGCAATAGCCACCGATGGAGTTTGGCATGTAGTTTCGAAAGATAGCCACGAACTGCAAGCTCAAAGTTTAACTGATCAATAACATGAAAAAAACTTTCAGTTTCATCGCTATTCCAATATTGCAAATATGAACTCAGGTATTTAATTTCTTCTTTGGAAAAAATACTTTTATTATTTTGAAATAAATGTCGGCATTTTGTTAGCGATGTTTTATCAAGCTCACTAGTAAATGAGGACAGAGTTTTGAGCCAATATTTAAATACTTGATTATTTTCTGGTGCAAAAATATACCAATATTGAGTCGAATCATAAACTGACATTGTCCATGATTTAGCGAATTTAAGGAACTCAAACTCATTTGAAATATAACATTCTCTAGAATCACTTCCTAACCTAGAAAAAATAGTTATTTTACTTGCTTGTTGAGAAACTGCATACATAACCACTGCGACTCTGTGCCATTTTATTAAACTTGTTAAACTTTTACCAAAAATTATTTTTAATTCTAACTTCTCTAAAAGGGTTTCATAGTTTAACAAATGACATTCATTAACTATTTCAGTTCTATTTGCTAACAACAAAATTTTAACATGTTTAAACTTTGAACACTCTGGTATAATTCCATTTAAATCATCAAGCATAACAGTAACAATGGGAAGGCCGTCAAAATATTTTCCACCAGTTGACGTAAAATTAGGTCTACTAACAGCTTTTTTCCACATTTCTAAACCTTCTTTCAATGTATTTGGTATAACCGTTTTTTCATGAGGAAAATCAGCTTCACCAAAAAAGTACCTTCCAATGGCTTGCCAATGTTCAACACCAATTTTAGCGTTCTCGATACGATGTACATAAGCTTTTAGATTTAAGTTTAAGAGGTTTATAGTAGAAAGTTTGTTGAACAAATTGTCATAATTATTGAAGAGTTCAACCCCACCGTAATAATAGTAGTCTGAATAACTGAGCCAACGTTGAAGGGCTCTCTCATCAAAATCGTCATTAGGATTGTACCTTTGAAATACAAAATGTACCTTTATTTTAAAATAATAAAATGACATTTTTAATAATGACTGAAATTTTGATTTAACTTTTTTAAATTTGGATGCTTAATAATAATTTGACTGAAAAAAAATTACCCGTAATTTAAAGATCTGCTGCTCTGCTTCATGGCATCATAAGAGGTATAGTCTAACCTTTGTTTTCGTTCTTCGACAAGATGGTGCAGTTTTTCGTAGTTAGCATATAACTTCGGTGTTGGTACAAGCATTGGAATACCTAAATTATGTTATAATAAATAAATTTTTTTCACAAAAACAAAGTATACATATATATATATATATATATATATATATATATATATATATATATATATATATATATATATATATATATATATATATATATATGTATATATATATATATATATATATATATATATAATATATATATATACATATATATATGTATATATATATATATATATATATATATATATATATATATATATATATATATATATATATATATATATATATATATATATATATATATATATATATATATATATATATATATATATATATATAAATATATATATATATATATATATATATATATATATATATACATATATATATATATATATATATATATATATATATATATTTAAAATAAAAATTACCTATAAACCTAAACGTAAAGAACCACAGAACAAAAAACAGTAATTTTTACCTAATACCGCGTAATTCTACCATGAATTTTTAAGCACTTGTAAAAACTACCCACTGCAGTGGGTAGTTTTTCAAAGACTTAAAACTCTATAACATTGATTCACAATTGTCTTTAAAAATTTTAAATCAAAATCAAGGATAAGATGAACCCAATTCAAGAAAAATAATTTGGAACTATCTTCTGCAAATAAAAAAGCGATAGCTTTACGACAAAGTAACTCTAAAACTTTTTCAACACAGTTTTTTTCACAAATTCAAAAAATGGCAACATTATTTACAAACACAGTTGACGTACAAAAAACTGTTTAGAATAATGTTGTACTTTACGTTGGCACAACGTTGTATTTTACGTTGGCGAAACGTTATGTTTTAAGTTGATTTAACGTTATATTTTACGTTTGCACAACGTCATATTTAACTTTAATCGGAAATCAATTAATTGGTTTTATACTTTATTATGTTTTATATATACACATTAGACATTATATGTTTACACTCATATATAATTGTATATATGGGTAAAAGATTACTGTTTAACAACATCTTGCAGAGGTACTATTGTTTTCTGCCTTCAAAAATATACAATTATCTTGCCACAATATATATAAAAAATACTAATTTGTATTATATTTTTTAACAGAAAATGGAGATAGAACAAATTAACACTGTATTTTATAAAGTAAGTGTGTATTACATTGTGTTATCTCAAGGAGGGGGGTAAAAGGTTTAAAAAAAAGAAAAAAAAAAAGGTCCGCATATTTTCCTTATTAAGTAACTCTCTTTTTAAATTTTTTGTACTTTTGTGTAATAACCAAGTTCATATACGTATAATTTATATATAATAGTCTATTTTATTCGTCAGTATAGTGTTCCAATTCTGTATAATAATCAATTTACAAAAAAAATATTTCTGAAAAAAAGTCCCGAGGGTGGGGCTACAACCCCATGCCCCTTCTTTCCCTAAAGCCCGACACTTTCTCCAGATCAAGGTCTAGTAATTCAGACACCTGCACTTTAAAAATTTTAATACAATTTCTCTAAAACTGTGGTAGCCTGTGCAGAAAATTAATACAAATTGTTTTTTTTTTGTGTTTTTTATGTTATTTGCAGGCCTATTTAAAACTTTGAACCTGGTTTTCTCGGTTCAAAAGAACATGGAGATAAAACAAAATAATTCTAACCTCGCAATCTGTAGAGTAGTCTAAGATTATCTGTACACTTTCCGCCAAGATCATCTGTTGTTTTTTTTTTACTCAAATAACATCTGTCCAATATCATCTGCAAATTCAATGACCCATGACAACATCTTTAGGAAGATTCTGCATCTATTAATTTTTTCTGCAAGTCCAATATAATCTGAAAAGAATTTCCTCCAGATGTATATCTGAAAAAAATCTTACAAGGACAGATTTGGGATTTATAGAGATAAAGAATAGAATCCGGAGTAAAACAGTCGTGAGCACGATAAAGAGATGCAACCTTAGCAAATGCTAATTTTACAACGGATTTGATTAATGGTTTCCATAAAAGATAGAAAGAATGAGTTAATCCTAGAAGATGAAGGGTAGATGACTCGACGAGTACATCACCATTCATAAATATAGGAAGGTCTAAATTATTGCGGTAACGATTGGATTAAAAAAGATGGGTTTTATCTTAATTAAAGTTCACCAGCCACTGCAAGCCTTATGCAGTAGCAAATGTTAGATCTTTTTCAAGCTCAAATGCCCCTTCCAAGCAATCAGAGAGTGTTAGCTTCTTATCAAGAAAGAATAAATGGTAGTATCATGAGTGAACAACGCTACCTTAGATATGAAAATATCTGGAAGATCGTTAATATAAATTAAAAATAGTATAGGGTCAAGGATAAAACCTTGAGGTACGCCTGAAGTTACACATTATGAAGAAGAGTGCTGTTCATCGAGGACAACTTTCTAATAGCAGAAATTGATTGTGTTACTTATATTTACTTATTTTATAATGTATAAGTATAATGACTCATAAATATAACAAATATAATTATCGGAAATTGTATATTCAATACTTTTTCTAGCACCATTTATTTGAAAGAGTGTATGAAAACAATTTATGAAGAAATCCCTGATCGTCAAACTTCAAAAAGGTTTCATATACCAAGAAGTAGTATCCATTATAAAATGAATTCAAAGCTTAAATAGTGCATTGGTGCACCAACCATATTCACCTATCATGAGGAGCATTTATTTTTTACTAGAATAATGGTCATATGTAGTTGAGAATTTCCATTAGACAAACCCGATGTAAAAATGTTTGTTGCTGCTTATTTAAAATTCCGTATACAATAAAATTTTTTCAAACTGTAATGTAATATAACTGGTAATGATTGGTTTAAAATCTTATAGAGCGTTCTTATTTAACCCATAAAATCGCATTAATCATAAAAAAAGTGCAATTTTTCTAACTAAAGCTATAAACAAAGAAGAATTAAAATTTTATTTTGAAAACATTAAACATGAACTTAAAGGATTTCCTCTTCGTAATATTTATAACAATGATGAAACCAATTTGAGTGATGACCCTGGACATAAAAAAGTTGTTATGGCACGTGAAATCAAGTATCCTAAAAATAGTTCTTCTCTGTGATGCTTTTTGGATAAGATTTAGGAGAAATTTTGCCACTATACACTGTTTTTGAGTTATTCATTTATTTAAAAGACTCATGGTTAAAACATATTTCAAAGATTTTCTGATTTAATAGAACCAAACCTGGTTGGTTTGCTTAAGTCAGTTTTGAGGATTGATAAATTTGGGCGTTATTACTATACATAAAGAAACAAATAAAAAAAAGCACTTGTTTATTTAAGGATATAATAAACGGAAAGCCACTAAAGATTGATCTTCCGACCAATACAAATTGAGAAAAAGAGCTGTTTCTATTGGAATATCGGGTGTCAGCATTATTTCAAGTAAATGAAAAAGTAACTATGTTTAATATAGTTTTTTGTTTTTTTAATGAAATTAAATTAAATTTATAAATGTTTGTTTATTATTAGAGAATCGTTTATCATGCCTGACAAGTGGATTTAATTTAACAATTTATTTCAAGTTCGTTAGTCAGCACGACAATGTGTTTAATTGTAAAAAAAACAACTGGCAAAGTCGTAAACAGCACTAACAAGTTATTAGTAATCGTATAAATTCTTAAAGTTACAAAATATAAAACAATAAAAATTTGTATCACAATTTAATTTCAAATAGGTAACAGGGGCGGTTCTAGGATGTCCCTACTAATGCGCGTGCATCAGCCCTTTTGCACAGCTAAATTTAAGTGTATCTCTTTTTCACTTTTTTTTCATAATATAAAGTTAAATTAGAAATTAGAATCTGATACTCTCAAAAAATGTAGAATTTCTTTTAAACTCGAAAAAAATCATTACACCTAAACTCGATTTTATTTGATCTCTTTAATTACTTATTCGTTAGTTAGACAAAATTTCCTTCGTTTTGGAGCAACTGATGCAATTGTTCTTCACCAAATACAAATGTGATTGGTTAAAGAAGAAATATTTTAGGCTTTAACCAATCGTATTTGTACATTTTTACAAATTTTTCCTATCACTTTGTAGGAAGTGATGCAGTTGTTCTCTAAATCATTAATGATTGGTTAAAGAACAGTTTAAACCAATCACTATTTATAAAAATAACAATTGCATCAGTTGCTAAAAACCTTCCGCAAAAAAATCCTAAAATGTTTCTAATATTATTAAAACGGCTATATATATTATTAAAACGGCTCTCTCTCGCCTAAAATTAAACAAGACCAAAGATGCGTATGGAATCTCTGCAGAACATTTAAAACATGCAAGTTGCGAAGCCCTAACAAAGCGGCTAAGAAAATTCTTTAACTTTCAGGCCCCAAAATCGATGTCTACATCACTTATTATACCTCTTGCTAAATCTTATAAATATTTATTAGCTGATCCAAATAACTACCGTGGTATTAGCATCATTCCAATCTTTACAAAACTAGTAGAATATCTTATTTTATTTATCTGTCCAGAGATAAAAGAAACTCATTCTCTTCAATTCGGTTTTACTAAAAACAGCTCAACCTTACATGCTGATTTTTTTATAAGTGAAACAATAAAACTTTACAACAACAACAACTCATTTATCTATCTCTGTCTTCTAGATGCTGAAAAAGCATTTGACAGCTGTAGCTGGGACATTTTATTTGAAAAACTATACGATAATAAAAAATTACCGCTTTATATTATTAATACTATACCGTCATTGTACCATGAAAGCAGTGCTTCTGTCACTTATCTAGGATGCAAGTCATATCCATTTTATCTAATACAGGGAGTGAGACAAGGATCGATTCTGTCTCCTCACCTGTGTAATATATATAATCAAAGCTTACTTGAAACCATACAAAATAAAAGTATTGTAGGGACATCAATTTATGGAAATTACACAGGTGTTGTAGCATACGCTGATGACATTATTCTTCTTAGTTCTACCCTGCCTGGAATAAAAAAGCTTATAACAGCTTGTAATATATAC